GGCAATGCAATTTTGATGTAAACTTTAATATCACCATTCCATATTAGTAATTAACACTTTGAAACCATATTGTCTTCATCTATATTTCAGAATTCATGTGAAGCTTCACATTCGTATATTTTAGTGTGAATATTCACATCATGTTTGTATTCAAAGTGAAAGCTGAGGTTTGTCGTTGTGTAAGTTGATGCAATGTTGATGTAAACCTTCACATTACCTTGTCACAGTGGTAATGAACACAGTGAAAACATATTCACCATTCAATATTATATTGGTGTGTAAATAATATTAACACCAATTGATAAGACAATGACAAATTTTCAATTCAAATTAATGTGAATATTAACACTAATCACATCATGCAAAAAAAATAGCTAGTCTAAACAGAGCATACAATCCTTCATATACATTCACATTCTTTCTGCGATGTGAATATTCACCACATTCAAAAAGCAGAGCCATATCTCAACCACATAACCAGCCAAAACCCATATCCCCATTCAACCAAATAAAACTTGCGAAGTTGAGAAAAATATGAATATGAATTCCACATCCTTTGTGATTTTGTAAATATTAGAATACATTGGACAAAAGAACCATAATTAGTTATTTTGATTGTACTTAATAAGATACAATGTATGTTGTCATAAGATTTGCTACCAAAAAATCAATGTTAATATTCATATTGGTTTATGTTATTTTATAATTATGTACACATAACCATTGGCTTAATATGACTAAATTAATTCATTTGATGTTTTATTCGTGATGATAACATTCACATCAATAATTTGATTGTGCATAAATATAAACTTCATGTTTGTGTACACACAAAAATGATGGTTTGTGCTTAATGCAATGTTGATGTAGTCATATTTTTAGAGATTAAAAAATCAATGTGAACCTTTACATTGTTGTTAGCTACTTTACAATTGTGTGCACATAATCATTGGCTTAATGTGATTTGTAGGCAATGCAATTTTGATGTGAACTTTAATAACACCATTCCATATTAGTAATTAACACTTTGAAACTATAGTGTCTTCATCTATATTTTAGAATTCATGTGAACCTTCACATTCGTATATTTTAGTATGAATATTCACATCATGTTTGTATTCAAAGTGAAACCTGAGGTTTGTCGTTGTGTAAGTTGATGCAATGTTGATGTAAACCTTCACATTACCTTGTCACAGTGGTAATGAACACAGTGAAAACATATTCACCATTCAATATTATATTGGTGTGTGAATAATATTAACACCAATTGATAACATAATGACAAATTTTTAATTCAAATTAATGTGAATATTAACATTGATCACATTATGCAAAAAAAATAGCTAGTCTATATTTTGCACAAATAATCCCAAAACCGAACACTTTATGAACATTCACATTGTTCATGCGATGTGAATATTCACCGTATTCAAAAATTTAAATCAAAACTCAAACACATGATCAACCAAAACCAACAACCCCATACAACCAACCAAACAAAATTTAATCTCGATAATAATGTTAAAAGCAAAAAACAGAGCATACAATCCTTCATATACATTCACATTCTTTCTGCGATGTGAATATTCACCACATTCAAAAAGCAGAGCCATATCTCAACCACATAACCAGCCAAAATCCATAACCCCATTCAACCAAATAAAACTTGCACAGGTGAGAAAAATATAAATATGAATTCCATATCCTTTGTGATTTTGTAAATATTAGAATACATTGGACAAAAGAACCATAATTAGTTATTTTGATTGTGCTTAATAAGATACAATGTATGTTGTCATAAGATTTGCTACCAGAAAGTCAATGTTAATATTCATATTGGTTTATGTTATTTTATAATTATGTACACATAACCATTGGCTTAATGTGATTAAATTAATTCATTTGATGTTTTATTCGTGATGTTAACATTCACATCAATAATTTGATTGTGCATAAATATAAACTTCATGTTTGTGTACACACAAAAATGATAGTTTGTGCTTAATGCAATGTTGATGTAGTCATATTTTTAGGGATTAAAAAATCAATGTAAACCTTTACATTGTTGTCAGCTACTTTACAATTGTGTGCACATAATTATTGACTTAATGTGATTTGTGGGCAATGCAATTTTGATATGAACTTTAATATCACCATTCCATATTAGTAATTAATACTTTGAAACCATAGTGTCTTCATCTATATTTCAGAATTCATGTGAACTTTCACATTCGTATATTTTAGTATGAATATTCACATCATGTTTGTATTCAAAGTGAAAGCTGAGGTTTGTCGTTGTGTAAGTTGATGCAATGTTGATGTGAACCTTCACACCACCTTGTCACAGTGATAATGAACACAGTGAAAACATATTCACCATTCAATATTATATTAGTGTGTAAATAATATTAACACCAATTGACAACACAATGACGAATTTTTAATTCAAATTAATGTGAATATTAACACTGATCACATCATGCAAAAAAAAAAATAGCTAGTCTATATTTTGCACAACTAATCCCAAAATCGAACACTTTATGAACATTCACATTGTTCATGCGATGTGAATATTCACCATATTGAAAAATTTAAATCAAAACTCAAATACATGATCAACCAAAACCAACAACCCCATGCAACCAACCAACCAACCAACCAAAATTTAATCTAGATAATAATGTTAAAAGCAAGAAACAGAGTATACAATCCTTCATATACATTCACATTCTTCTTGCGATGTGAATATTCACCTTCTTCTTGCGATGTGAATATTTACCACATTTAAAAAATAGAGTCATATCTCAACCACATAACCAACCAAAACGGATAACTCATTTAACCAAATAAAACTTGCATGTCCATCAATTCCAGAAAATGAAGTTGGAAAAAAGAATTTAACAATATAGACTGGATACAAAAATAGTTGCGATTCAAATCCATCTCCTCTTTTCCTTTGTTTCAATTCAGTCGAATGTGGGTTTCAATCAATCTACTAAACAAGTTCGTAATCCATCACCTCTGATCCTTCGATTCAAATCCTCATCTCTTCCTTTGATTTCTAGCTGAAATCATAACTATGGTAGGAAAAGAAAAAAAAACTGAGTAAACACTCTAAATCGTCATCTTCTCTCCTACAGGAATGAAACTGTATCGCAATGAAACACTACCACGAACTATGTGTCGTCGTCTTCGCTCTTATAGGAACGAAATCCTACCACAACAAAAACAAAGGGAAACAGGTATATTATTTTGTATATAATATAGGGTTAATTACACTAATAGTCCCTATAGTTTGGGACTTGTGTTACTTTGGTCATGACTTTTCAATTGTGAAACATTTGATCCTAAATTTTGAATTTTGTTCCAAATAAGGACAATTGAAAATATTATTAGATTTTTCAAGGGTAAAATCATCAATTTGATAAAATATAAACTAATTTGACAAAAATAAATATCAAAAAAATATTTTTAATTTTTT